CCATGCGCCGTCTGATAGTACAGCCGGCTTGAGTGTTGCCGGCTCGTCCGATATCTTCAGCAATGCTGGAGCACCGAGTGTCATGGGATCTAGCATCCTGGGCTCAAGCGGCATGACATGGGGAACCGGGTCTGTATCTCGTGTGTCGGAGGCGTCGAGTCGACCTAGTGCTCCCAACTTCTTTGACGCGATCGGAACTGTGCGTATGGAAGCATTCATACAGCCAATGGCCTTCACCAAATACGATGACGACCAAGAGAGCTATCGTTACATGGCCCGCCGCCGAAGCAAGGAGTTTCGAAGGAGACACAGCCGAAGCTGGCATAGGGACAGCATTCTAAGTGGAAACACTCGGATCACTCTCGGAAGCGATCCCATCGAGGACTATGGGTACGACAGAGATGACCCGTTCAGGGGGTTCTAAGAAGGTTATCTAAAGCATGGCGTTGAAGTTTTATACTCGTTGCCTCTTTTCAGTGCAACCCATTGCTGGCGCTCATTTATTTTCTTATGTTTAGTTTTGTTAACAATTCGGAGAGGCGAAAAATTTGACTGCGGAAACTTTGTTTAGCAGACCAAGACTTTGATTTCTTCAATCATCACACCCCTCCAAAACCAGGAAGGGGCAAGATCAAAGAAAAAGTTAAGACGAGGCAAACATTTACGGACATTAGAGTCCACCATAACTATAACTTTTAAGCCGACCAAAAAAGGGTCCCTCGAAAAGGAGGAGGCTGTAAAAGGCAACGGCACAAACACCTACTCCGAATCCTCACATACTCACCACATACTAACCTCGTATTTCCTTAATCTATTTTCCTTCTAATTTCACTTCTCATGCATCCACTTGGATGCTGTTCTGTACATTATCACGGCATGTGTAAACACCTGTATGTATATCGTCAACGGCGACGGCAAAGATGCGGCTTACAAGCTCATTTCAAGTCAAACAAATCCTGGGGGAAATTACCAGTAACCCCGATTCCTCAGAGGTAGAGACTCGTCAGGCCCCGGAGGGGGGATGGATCCGACCTCAGATCAAGACACGATGCGTTCATTTGTGGACGATTCTAGGGTAACAGCAATATAGAAATAGATGACTATACAAGTTCAGTAATTGGTCAATTTGCCTTTTCAAGTAATCAAGTGACAAGATGTGTTGAAGAGGGCCATAGTCTCAACTACACACGACAGTAGAGGTAAGTGGTTTGAGAGTCATGCGCCACACGTCAAGACAAAGTGGCCTGTAAGTCCTCGCCAGCCACGTCATGGCGGGACCTTTGACGCTTGCATTCAGGGGCAGTGTTCGTTTAAGGGCGCATGGGGCGGTTTTGGGTTCGGCAACTCCTGGCCTGGACCCCTGAACAAACGTCCCGCATGGGCCGCCTAACAAGGAACCTGGAACCGCATGGCAATCCACCAACATTGGCGAAGTCATCACCAACACTTGGAAGTTCCAACTCCCGCTCGCTCTTTTGAACGGCCAACTTAACATGACCACCAACTCCGCTTCTGATTGACCTCTGTTGATTTTACTCTTTTCTATTACATATCTGTGTGAGACTCGGGCCCCTTTGGAACCGACTTAATTGACCATGGACGACCTCTCCGCTCTCGACTGGTCCGCGTCCAGCAACAGCAGCTCCAAGCCGAATCCTCCCAAGACAACCACGACAACTTCCGCCTTCAGCAGCTTCCCCGCGATCCGTCCCACACCGTCCCCGTTTGCGTCTGGCCGTAGTACGCCCGTGATTTCAAGCCAGGGTTCCGGTACGATCGCTCCCAAGTCCAACAACAATCCGTTCTCGAAACCGGCGCAAGACAGCTTCAGCAACCTCGGCAACTTTGTCAATTTCGCCTCATCCTCCTCCGCTCAGAACACCGCGAAGCTGAGCTTGAAAGAACAACAAGAGCGGTTGGAGGCCGAACGACGCAGGAAAGAGGAGGAAAGACGACAACAGCTTCAAGCGCAGTATGGAGGGCTCGATGCGCTGGGACAGCTGGGCAGTGGTGGGAGCAACAGCAGGACGACGTCACCTGCATTTGGGCTTGGAGGGCCTGGGTCGATCCCGTCCCCAGCCATCTCGAGGGTTGCGAGCCCGTTGAATCCGACGACGCTGAACCAATTGAATATGACAACAAAGAAGCCGAGCGAATCAGATGACGATCTGTTTGCGGCGTTCAAGGCCGAGACCAAGGTCGATAATGCGAGCCATTACCCCCCGCCGACGGTGGCGAGTCCGCCGCCGGTTGCTACAACGGCAAGTGCGCAGCCAAAGTTGGATCTTTCGGACCCGTCGGCTTGGGGGGCGCCGAAATCGAGTACACCTACGCCTGCGCCTGCACCTGCACCTGTTCCGGCGCCGGTTAATACGGCGAACACGGCCTTCGCGGGGCTTGATGACGACGACCCGTTTGGCCTTGGGGAATTCAGTGCGCCAAAGTCAAGTGTGGCCCCACCGGCCCCGGCCTTTGATGAGGAGGAGGATGATTTACTAGGCGACCTAGCCAAGCCTGTTGATCAGGTCAAGAAGCAACAGCAACAATTACAACAGGAGCAGCAACAACGACAGCCCCAAGTAGCCAGGCCCTCCTTCTCCCAAACACGAGAACCAGGGAAACCGATCGAGGATGACGAGGATTCGTCCTCCTCCGATGATGAACTCGAGCAGCCTCCTCGTCCATCCGACGATCCCTTCGACAGGGCAGTAGCCCAACTAGTCGACTACGGATTTACTCCCGAGAACGCCAGGAGAGGCCTAACGGAGAGTGGCGCCGGGCTAAACATTCAGGCGGCGGTTAATTGGTTGCTTGACGACGCACATAGGCAAGCGAAAGAGGAGGCTAGGGCCAAGAACGGTGGCGGCGGACCACAGCACACCGGAAGAAGCGAGGAGCGAGGAGCAAGCCAGTCTCGCGCTGGACGTGGTGGCCAGGGAGGCCCTTCGTGGATGAGGGAGGAGGAACGACAGGAACAGGTCGAGAGGTCTAGGAGTAGGGATAATCGGTCACCGGCTTCGCTGGCCGAGGTGGACTTCGCCAAGACTGCGGCAGCCGTGGGCACGAGCTTATTCAAGACGGCGAACAGTCTGTGGAAGACGGGGCAGAAGAAGGTGCAGGAGGCTGTGAAGGAGTTCCAGCATGAGGGAGGCGATCCGAACCAGCCCAAGTGGATGAGGGAAGCTGCTGAGTATGAGCAAGGGGGTAGGAGGCCGCAGGCGCCCGATGTTACGGATGAGGCTATGATGTTGGAGGGAGGTGGGCGGCCGGCACCGGAACCCCGGACTGCTAGTAATGGGCCACAACGGCATGCTTCTCCCGTGCCCAGGTGGCAGCAACAGGCGCCGCCTCCGGCCTCGCTTGATCCACGATCGAGGCTCAGTAAGCAGTCTGTTGAGGAGCAGAGTTCTCAAGCGTATGTCAGTCCTGCGCGCAGGAAGAAGGCCACTCCTCAACCCCAGCCGGAAGCTTCTCCTCCAGCACAGCAATTCGAGGACGAGGACCTCCTATTCGGCTCTTCAGGTCCGTCCAAGTCCCAAATCACCACAGCACTGCCCTCCAGACCCGCCGCCAAATCCACCGCACCACCACCCCCAGCTCCCCGACGATCTCCCGCCGCCATACAGCCCAAGCCCGCTGCCCCTCCGCGCCAGATCCCCCCCATCTCCGCCATCGCCCTCCAATCCTCCACCAAGCACCGTCTCGAAGGCACCGCCCATTTCAAGCGCGGTGACTACGCCGCGGCTCACACTTCCTACGGCGCCTCCCTCTCCGCCATCCCGTCCACTCACCCGCTCGCCATCCTCCTTCTTTGCAACCGCGCCCTCACCGCGCTCAAAGTCGGCGAGCCCCGCCAAGCCGTCTCGGACGCCGACGCCGCCATCGCGCTCATCGGCCCCTCAAAGGGGGAGGGGGAGTCCGTCGAGGTGCAGACTTCGGAACACGGCCCCGCAGAGAAACGTGAAATGCGCGACCTCTACGGCAAAGCCCTTGCCCGCAAGGCCGAAGCGCTGGAGCAAATGGAGAAGTGGGCGGACGCCGAGAAAGTATGGCAGAGTGCTGTCGAGGCTGGTCTGGGTGGGCAGACGGCGGCGGCGGGGAGACAGAGGTGTCAGAAAGCTCTCGCTCCCAAACCTCCTCCTTCCGTCTCTGCCTCTACCAAATCCGCTCCAGCTCGTCCCCGCCCAACTCCCAGCGCAGCAGCGTCAGCAGCAAGTCAAAAATCCTCCGAAGCAGTCCAACGTCTCCGCCTAGCCAACCAGGCCGCGGAGAAGGAAGGAAGCGAAAAGTTTGCTCTTGCCGACAAGGTGGATGCGAAGATTGCGAGCTGGCGCGACGGCAAGAAGGATAACTTGCGCGCGCTTCTGGCAAGTTTGGATAATGTGCTGTGGGAGGGGAGCGGATGGAAGAAGGTGGGATTGCATGAATTGGTGGTGGCGAACAAGGTCAAGATTGTTTACATGAAGGCTATCGCAAAGTGTCATCCTGATAAGGTAAGCTTTTTTTTTTTTTTTCCTTTCCTTCTCTTCCCCTTTTTCTGTCTCCTTGGAAATTTGAAGTGAATCAGAAATATCAGGGATGGTTGCTGACAAAGATGATAACCAGATTTCGACGGATGCGTCGACCGAGGTCAGAATGATTGCTGGAACGGTATTTGCCACGCTTAATGAGGCTTGGGATAAGTTCAAGAAGGAGAATAATATGTGAGTGTAAGGGGCAGGTGGAATGGTAATGGGTTGAGGAGAAAGGAAGGGGGGGGGGGGCGGAAGGGTTAATGTTCTAAGCTGCTTATTGAGATATGATACCTATATTAGAAGGAACGGGAAAGGAGTGTTAATAAACCTCAAGCTACTTGTCTGCTTTAGACATGTCTCTGTTGGAGCGGACAAGGCAAACGGAGGTCATATATAAAACATCAACATGGGAATATGAGGTTCATCATTATTGTCCTCAAAGGAAAACACCAGTGCCATGCCATGCTAATAAAAAAGTATACCTCAAACCACCACCCTTCCTCTTGTTCAAAGTGCTTAGTCACTCCGAGATTCTTTCACCACTCTTTACCACCACCACCACCACCACCCCCGTTCTCGCTCTCTATCCATGAATCCTTCTTCAACCACTTCACACAACGAACCCGCCCTTCCATTACTCTCTTTATCCTCTTTCTTCCCAACTCTCCATGCCCTTAAAGCCCCAAACTAGCCCTCACACTCGCCTTCACCCTCGCTTCGTACTCGCTCCTCTTCTCCCTCCACATCTTGGCCGCCTCCACGTTCGCCGGACTCTCGTCGTTAGGCTCCGCCAACATGCTCATAACAGATAGCAAGATTTTCTCGACAGACTGTATAGGTGACCATCTCTCCGAGGCAGTCTCGTAGTGGTTCGGGTCGTCGCCGGGTGGGTGGAGGATCGAGATGCAGACCAGACCTGAGGGGTAGACTTTGGGGGGTTATTTGTGTTAGCACTTTTTTGCATGGCCATCGATGGTGAGAAGAAGCAAGTGAAGGATAAGGAAAAAAAAAAAAAAAAAAAAAAAAAAAAAAAAAAAAAAAGAAAGAGGAAGAACAAACCATTAGGATGAAATATATCCCCCAGAAACTTCATGGTCGGCGGCATGTGCGGGTAATCATTCGGAAACTTGAGTTCTGCGGGGAACACGCCGCCCTCAAAGGGGGTGCCTTCGGGCCCTTGGATCAGGCATTCCCAGTGCAGCAGGTCGTCTTCGGAGATGGGGCCCGCGGTGATGCCTTCGGGTGGGTTGTTGGTGAGAGCGCGGTATTCTTGGAGGAGACGACGTTGGGCTACGTTGAGAGACATTGTAGCTGTTGGTTGATGGTGGGTGTTGTTGTTGTTGTTGTTGGGGTCCTCGTGTGGTGTTGTTGTTGATGATCGAGACGTGGGGCTCTCTGAAGAGAGTGCCTCGGTACTGTGTTATGGATATACGCTTTGGTGTCGGGATGGAAATCGCGTGGTGTCGCAAGCAGTTACTGTAGGTTGGGTATATGGTAGAGACGAAGGTAAATATGTCGTGATCTATTTCTTGTTGCTGATTGTTTGCTTTGTTACAGAAAGTCTCGAAATGAATCGATGCATGCAGGAGAAGCGCGGAGGACACACCGGGCTGCAGCGGGGGTTGTCAGCGGCGCAGTTGCTTGACACGTCTGACGTCGGTCCGCTCGGCGGGGATTGATTTCCATGGGACGTCTCGGGACGGGAGTTGCCCGGGGAAGCTGCTGCTGCACCACAGGGGCCATGCTAGGGCCACGGGACCCTTCCAGAAGCGCCTACGACAGGTACACCAGCCGGGGGGTTCTAGCGGCCGAGGGTGCTGTTTTCCTTCCTGAGCTGCCGGCCGGCAACCTGAGAGCTAGGTAAAAAAGCTCTCAGTCGGCAACCGCACTGGATTGTTATCGCAATTGAGTGGCTGTTATCGCATCTGCCAGTCTATCTATTCTTGTTTCGATGGCTCGTCGTCGACTGGGAGCTACGCCGCTCTAGCTTGCCAACCTCTCACCTCGTCAGCCAGCCATGCCGCCAACGCTGGGCCTACGACGGGCTTTACAGAGCCGCGGCCGCGGTCTCGGGTTTGGCCAGCGAACAGCACCGTCGTCCGTATGTCTCTTCTGTTCCTTTGCGACTCGGCCTTCCACTTTTCCCACATCGTCACCACTCAACAAGCTCCGGGCAACGAGGGCAAAACCACAAGAAGCGCCGGCTGTTCGACCACGATACCAATCGACCGGTGCCACCCCGCTCCGGCCCTTCATAAGCTCGCCCTCCGACGTCGTCGATACCGCCGCCGAACCAGAACCAATTGATCCCCGCAAAGACCTTGAGAGCGCTCTCCGCGACTTACAAACCCTCGCACCCAACCACGTCAATCTCCCGCGCCTCCAGCTCGCCCTACGCAACCTCAGCCAAGATCCCGGCCATGAATCGATACGAGTCGCATTCCTCGGCCTCACTACCGGCGACAAGCCTCAACACACTGCCAGGGAGCTGCTCCGCCTAGCACTCGCCGATCCGCTAAAGTCCGCCCAAAACTGGGAAGCGCAACTCAAGGCCCACGACCCCTCCAAGCCGCTCATCGTACACATCGGCCCTCCCGAGGAGCAAGCCACGCCACTGTCGCTTGCCGCGAGCGAACATGTTATCCCCGAAATCACCGTGCCGTCGCACATCTACAACGATGCCAACCTCGAGATGATAGTCATGGAGGCCGACCAGGCAACCGTCGCGCAGGCGGGCGAGCAGCCGCACACCTTTGACGAGGCCGTCCTCGTGCCCGCCGTCGACACAGCAGCCACCACAGCCGGCCACTCGGCGCCCATCGTCACGCCCGTGCACATGGCCGTGCTGGTAGCCGACGGCGTCCTGGGCGCCGCCTCCATCCTGTCACTGCCCATCAGCCCAGAAAGCCAAGACACCATCACGGCCGTCGCCAACTTCAAGAGGATCAGCGCCGAAGATAAGGCCGCGTGCCCATCCCTGGTCATCACTAGCGTCGAGGCTGGTGCACAGGGCCTCGACCTCTTCCGCGAGAGCGCTAGCAACGCCATGAAGTACGAAGCCCTCTGGACCGAGGCCGGCGTGGGACACATCAACAAGTGGCTGCGATCCAACGTGCTGTCGCAAGCTGAGCAGGAAGGGACCACCAAGGCGCCCGTGCGCAAGCTGATTGAGTCCATCCTGCACAACGCCGGCGCGGCGCTCCAGGCGGCTGAGTACCGCGACATGAAGGTCTCGGTAGAAGGGGGCCCGTCGCCGCACACGATTGCGCGCCTGAACCAGGCGCTGGCGGACTGGGCCAAGGATGCGCATGAGGAGTTGCAGCAGCAGTTAGAGATTGCGTTCGTTGGCGAAGCGTGGAGGCAGATGAACTGGTGGAAGCTGTTTTGGCGGGTGGATGACGTGGGTATGCTGTCGTCTGAGATGATTGCCCAGCGGTTCTTGCCCGAGGCTGAGAAGCGCTTGATCTTTTTGGCCGGCAGGCTCCAGGAAGCTGGCATCACTACTGCAGGCGGGGGAAAGCCGGTGACGTACTCTGGCCCGGCGGTTCCACCGTCGTTCCCCGAGGGCGAGAGCAGTGTTGCTACTACTGCTACTGCTACTACTACTACGGAATCAGAGACCAAGGGAACTTGGCCTGCGCATATCCCCTTCACGAGAAACTATCTACTAGCGGAAACTGTTCCGGCCCTGCAAGCACTGGCGCAAAAGCTCGTGCTGCAGTCATCGACATTGGCGGGTGCTACCACTGCACTGGGCGGCATGTCCTGGCTCTCTGGATTCGGAATATATGAGTGCGGAGCCGTCGCCGCGTTGGGAATCGTGTTGAGTTTGAGGGGCTTGCAGAAACGATGGGAGAGGGCGAGGGATTTCTGGGAGGGCGAGGTCCGTGAGGAAGGACGCAAGGCTGTTCGCGCAACCGAAGCCAGTATCGCCGAGTTGCTGGATAGCATTTCTCCTGAAGTTCCCGAGGATGTGGCGGTTGAGATCGAGGAGCTGAAGGAGGCCAAGAGTGTCCTCAAGCGGGCCGAGGAAGCGCTTGCGAGGTTGAAGTAGAAATGATGGGTTGCAACAGATGTTTAGAAGGGCATTCTGCCAACCTAACTTGGTCAGTTTCGGACTTCTTGTGCTTATTATTTCCCACAGCCCTATCGCCCTGCCTGTTAGTCCCTTAGCTGGGTGTTCTGACAATACGCCCTCTCCAACCCAACCCTTATACAGCCAGTTGTATATTTAGTCTACACGATTCACTCTCACTCAGAGCATTGTTGCAAGCTCATCTTATGCGAGCCGCACATATAGGGACAGGCGGGTTAGAACCGGCGGACGCAACAGATCAACCAGGGCTACACTCTTATGTACCATTAAAAAGCAAGCCAAAGCGGGAGAAAAGAGGGGCACCGGACTTTTGGGGTAGATATCAAAAACTGTCAGCGTAGGCTGAGGATGCAATGGGTTGTGTGTACAACAACATAATAGACAAAGACGATAAATACGTACCCTGTCTATGTTAGAACCAGGGCTAGTAGAAGTTTCGCTTTCGGTGCGATTCTGTCCATGCTGCATGTGCTCGCTCCTTGGCCAAGGACTCAACTGGGGGAGACCTGAGGCTGGCTGAACAACTGGTTCGCTCTGGCTGCTAATCGTGATGGAGCCAGGTTTTCGTTGCGTGCTGACGGACGGGTAGCGGCTGTTGCATCGACCGACCATTATCGTCCAGCTGGCGGAGCGTGAAAACCCCTGGATACGCCACGCTTCTCCCATGATCATCGTTTTGCAGCAGATGGATGAGCTGGCCAGCTGGAGTCGTCCATATCACTCCTCATCGAGGCTCTCAACCCTCCAACCCCAGCCCCAGCACTCAATCCAGTCCCTTCTCATCTCTGGCCGGCCTTGAGCCACCCTTCCCATCCCTCCTGTTCCTCCTTCTCTGGGCATCCAAAGCTTTCCCCCCAGACTTTTCCATCCAACTCGCTGCCCCCCATTTTCGGTAGAAAGAAGATCAAAATTTGCTTTATTGTTTCCCCCCCCAAAACGCCTAAAATATCAAAATAGCGGTTGTCGTTGCGCGCGGAGAAAAGGAGCCACAACATGGCGATTATTGTGCCCCAATATTGCATTGCGTTGTGAACATTCAATGATTCTCGGTCTGGGTCTGGTCTTGTTCGATGAGTCTGACGAGAGGCGGCGTTGTCTTCTATCTGGCGCCGCCACGACCACCGGCGCGCGCCCTACTGACTGTCGCACGACCGCGGGCGAGACCGACACCGCGGCCGCGGACGTTGCGGGAGCGGAACATGGGGGCGTTTCTGTTTGGGAACAAAAAAAGGGAGGAGGAAATGATTAGCTTGGGTCCGATCCGACTTATTGGGTAGGGGGCGACTGGAGAGAAGGATCGCAACGGGTGAGTTGGTGGTGGCCTGGTTTGAACGTACCTCAACATATCCGGCACAATAAAGAATCGCACATGACTGCCGCGGATGTAGACTTGTTCGAGATGGCTGACGCGCCCGTCGCGGGCTGTGACGGTGATGTCCTTGAGTTGGACGTTCATGTTGTCCTCGGCTGTTTTTGGGGGAAGCGCATTGGTTAGCATGGCTGGCCAGTTTAGAGAAGTGAATGGGAATTGAAGAGTTCATGGGGGTAGGCAGTACCTTCAATAAGCTTGCCACGGTAGGTCTGGCCGGAGGTGATCTCGAGAGTGACGATATGGCCCTGTTGGACAGGAGTAGTTGGTTAGCTTTTGGCAGCACCACAGTCTGTACATAGCAATGATGTTTACTTACCTGAGCCTCATTGAGGAGCTTGATGGGGATCCCAATTGTGGAAGTCATGTTGGCGACTGTGTTGTTACGTGGTGAGGTTAGTTGGTGATGTGGAGGGGCGAACTGGTTCTCCTTGGTGTTGGTTTTGGACTTTAGATGGTATGCCGTAAGTACAGGCGACTTGGTTCGCGATGATAGTGGATGCTATCAGTTGCCTTTGACGTGAACGCGGCAGCCCTGTCAGCCCGGTGCTGCTGGGAATTTCGTCGGAGAGCTTGGTAGATCTTGTCAGCTGCATGACAGCTGCTAGACCTTACGGTACGTACCGCACATTGAGGTCCTATGTACAAGGAAGTGTGGAGGCTTCCCCATACGCATCTTCTGCGCTGTCCCCACATTCAGTAACTGGTGGTCTTCGGTCATCAAAAACATCGTCATCGTCACTGACATAAATATTCTTTCCTTAACCCATTGGCAGTAAGTGGAATTTACCGGCCTGCTGTCATACGCTTGTACTCAATCAAAGTATGAACTGTCTGGTTCAACACTCCGAACGTCGTTATCGCTCAACTGTCCTGGTTCATGTTCCGCGTCGTCGCATGATGGCGGCTGTCACGGGGATGGGATTGTCCAACGCATTGAACACAGCATCCCGAACCTTTTTTTTGAAACGAGGCCTTCTCCGATGTTCTATACGTTGTATTTGTGTGCGGTCCTTCGGTTCTCAAGTCACCCTCGTCCCCCGAATATTGGACAGCCACTCCCCTCCCGCTTTCCCTCTTGCCACAGGCCAACCGTTGGCGAGCAACTTCCACATTCTCGACGGCCTCGTTCAGCCATTGTCTATTAGCCAAGGACGGGACGTGATGCAGGACAGAAAACGCCCCGCGACGCTCTCCAGACTTCCTCGCGCCCCGAGAGATGCCGTACCCGGGTCCCCTCTGCATCATGCTACATACTGCCACGACCGCGGCTTGCACGGCGACGTAGTCCAGCGAGTAAGGGGCCATCTGGCCTTGTCCCATTTTCAAAAACGCAGTGACGGGCTGGCCAAGTGGGCCGTCGGCCAATTGCTGTGTTGTCAGCTTGATGCCCAAACCCTTTGATCAAACCCCACGAACCGCCCCGGCACCGCTGAATGGGCGAGGCGACCGTCTCAACGTCGAGCTGCGGCAGGTGGGTTTGGCGTGGACTGATCTTCCATAGCATTGGCTGCTATAGGCTGCATGCATGTGCATCGAGAGACCATGATCTGTGTGCGTCTGCTCCTCCGTCTTGGTTGCTCCGAGTTTTCGGTCTTTTCTCTCCACCTTCTTTGTTATCTCGCTGTGTGAGCTGGATCGTGTGGTGATGGTGCGGTACTAGCAAGCTTTGACAAGCTCAACGGCAGCTCCGGTTGCATCCCACCTCCCACCATCATGTCCTCGTCTTTGCCCTGATTGGACGTCTCACCACTCTCCAGGAGGTGTCTGCCAACTTCTAGCGCTGGACGCTACATGACATCTCAGTTCCGAGTGGAAGATCTCTGGTCTGGTCACTCCATCAGTTCCGGTAAATGAGGAGTTGACTTGGCCGTCGTGCAGACTTTTACCCCTGGTGATGTGGGCTTCCCGTCTCCTACTTATGCCCGTCCGTCTCCCAGCGTGGGATCGGTTCGTTTTGTCACAAGATCCTTTTCTAGTGAATCGAGAATTCCATTCGCTGTTTGCTTCACCTCAAGAAAAAGAACGCAGACTGTCTGGACTACGTGGTCCTGTCAAACCGAGATCGCACTTGAAGGTCGTATTGCCCCTGGCTTTCTTACACGAGGGCGTCGTACCTGCTTTAGTCAACCGGAGGCCCACTCCTTCCGTGTTTCTCTCTTGGTCAGGTCTCAAGGTATTGTCTTGCCTTCGCCATAATGCCAGGAAGACATCGCGCCCATACTACCGAGCACCCGGCGAAGGGCTTCAAGTGGTTCCCATGGAAGCGGGAAAAGAAAGTGGTGGTCGAGCCTGTGCAGGTGTGGTCAGATTGGGTGTCAAGTGAAGATGGAACCTACTTCTATCGAGCCAGGAAATTGGCTGACGGTAAGCCCTTGAAAATCCTTCCTTGTTGTACCCCAGCTGATTTTTCTCGCAGGCACTTGGGGAGATTATGAATACACAGAGGGTTACTACATGGGAGGTTATGCGGGGGAATATGCCGGAGGGTATGCCGCAGGATATGCGGATGGGTATATGGGAGGTATAGAGATACCCCAGGAGAAGGAATACCACCCGGCAGTTGCGGTCAGCCCTTGGAAACTCCCCGAAGAGCCCGTTGCGATCATGCCAGAGAGCTCCGAGGTTATGGAGGATCCAGAACCCAGGTACGCGGAGATCGCAGAGTCAGAGCCCATTGGAGAGTTTTCGGTCGCAGATGAGGAGGAACAACATCAAGGCACTACCACCAACGCCACCTCAGTCTCGGGTGATGATGCTTTTGACAGCCCGCCAGAAGACGACGGCTACCGTGAAAGCGAGCCCTTACCGACCGTGCAAGAAGCGGAGCCCATGGTGTTCACTCACGAACCAGAACCCTTTCGAGCCTTGTCCCCGATGCCAACATTGCGGCGAGAGTACAAACCGAGGCGAAGGCATACAACCGGGGCCGACACCAGCGTACCAGCTTCGTACCACCGCCCGCGAGTTCCCCATCGGCATACATTCAACGAAGGCCACAAAGACAGTCACAGCCAAGATCATCACCACCACAGACGCACCAAAAGTCACGACTCGAACCACAAACAGCCGCTCCTATTCTCCATCTTCTATGCAGTAACCAAAACCCATGCCGGCCCCCAAATCCGCCGCATGCCCTCCGCTTCACCCCATCGATCCTCCACACGCGGCAAATCAACAACACGCACCTCCACCCGCCCCTCAACCGCCACATCCTCCTCCTCTTCCCGCGCCCCCTCAGCTTCAGTAAGCAAGCATCAAGACAATACCAGTACCAGAGTTGCCGTCCCTAAAACATCTACCCAAAAACCAACGACAAAGAAACCGCCAGTCACTGCCAGGTCAACAAAGCCCAAGAAACCACCAGTGCCCACAGCAAGCGAGACCACTGTCGTCGTGCCCCTCGACACGGGCGTGCCGTCTGTGATTGCGCCGCCGGGGAAAGCGACGATCACCAAGACGAAGAAGTTTAATTCCAAGATTAAGAGCGAGAAGGAGATGAAGGTGGATAGTAAGAAGATGATTAAGGGGTGGTTGGCGGGGATGGAGCCAGGAGCGGAAGACAAGAAGATGAAGGGTAAGGGTAGTGGGAAGGAAAGAGGGAGGAGGATGACGAAGTGATGAATGGGGTTATGAAAGGATAGGTTCTTGGGGGGGATGACTTTGGTTGATGAATAATGGCTGATGAATTCACAAGGATCACGAGGATTTACGAGATAATGATAATAGAGGCCGGACGGAAAGAGGGGGTTAGCGTAACGGACGCTGGAGTTTTATCGGGTTTTTAGTAAATTAGTAATTGGTTTGTGATTCTTTATGAATCACTCCCCTCAAAAGACATGGCAGCCGGTAAAAGACGGCTGGAACATGAAGCGGCGGCAGGAGTCCACTCGGATTCCGTCTGGTCCCAAACCTGGTCCTTTTCTATTCGTCTTTATGGCCGCCAATGGAAATTGGAACCTGGGATCCGAAGAAGCAAGAGCATGAGCAGAAAGGTCGCTACCTTATTGCGTGTGGCAGGCTAAAGAGCGTTGAAGGGCGAAGGGCTGGCATGTTTGTTCTACACGCCCGGTCCTCCTTGTGTAGCCAACAAGGTCAGGCCGAAGAAGGTTACGAAGAAGAAGAGGAAGAGAACGATGACGAGAGGGGTCCCTCCTTCTTGTGGGGCAAATTCTGGAGAGTTCCGGTGGTTTAAGCGGCTGTGGTTGCGGGATGGTTGACTGCTTACGCATAACCTGTCTTCTGCTAAGTAGGACAGGAGACGGAGTAGTAGAGGGACTTGCAACGAACGCTATTTTTTCTTCTCTGTCCTTTTGCTTTTTGTTTATTGGGTATAAAATAGAAACGGTAACGAACAACCATGACAAATGCCACTCTGATAGAGTACTTGTCTTGTAGTATATACTGCTGGCTTCGGACCAGGCATCTACCGATTGATATATTCAAGCGTGGAAAGTTCTATAGCAATCATGCCTTATATAGCTCTGCTCATCCGGCCTTTCACGTTCCTTTTCACCTACTCTTCACCTCCTCTTTAGCTTCTCTTAGCGCTGCTCCTCTTCAGATCTTCTTCACCCCTCAATTCAGGTCCCCTTCACTTCTCTCTTCATTTCTCCTTCGCTTTATCTTCACTTATCTTTTGACCTTCTTCCCCTTTGACCCTGTTAACTCTCTCCCCCTCGTTGATCCTCATTCCTGAGTCCTCCTCTTCACCCCCTCCCTCTCACACCACTCCTCATCACTCATCCTAAACCAATCCGCCACGCACATCATGCCCGCCCACAAATCGCACTGAATCGCCAAGTGCACCATCTCCAGTGCCAACGCGTTAAACATCCTCCCCAGCGAAAACGCATCCATGAACCCCAAGCCGTGAAACGCCATGTCCAACGTCGCCCCTTCAAGCCCCATGCGCCTCGCCATATACGGCCTCGCCAGCCCCAATAGCGCCAAGCTCTCAAACGGCGTCATCATCGCCCTTGCAGCACAAAGTCCTAGCGCGCCCGCGGCGAGGACGTGTGGCAGGCGCGTGAGGCCGTTGTCTCTGTAGAGAGGGGCGTCCAAACCCAAGCTGCTGCTATTATTGGTTTGTGTTTGTTGCGAGTTCCGGTTCGAACCAGAAGAGTTATCAGGCACGTTAGGCCTCAACTCGGCGGCCCAAACTGCTGCGCCGGGAGGGATGGGCGCGGAGTCGCTGGTGGCGGAGTCGCTGGTGTCAACGTCAAAGGTGATTAGAGTGGGGTTGACGTGCTCGGTTTCTTCGTCATCGTCGCTGAGGAAGGGGGCTTCGTCGGCTGTTGCTGCTGGGGATTGAGATTGGGATTGGTTTGTGTTCGAGGTGGATCCGTTGGGACCGCCGGGAGTGCCGGGACCGGGACCGCTGACGGAGATGATGCTTTGGCGGCGGCGGGTGCCATCGGGTGGAGGACCGGTAGGGAGGGCGTCGTTGGTTGGAAGGGTGTCGGAGGGGGCGTGGACCATTTCCCAGCCTGCTTCGAGTGCGTTTGCGCTTGGGGCTTGTTGCTGTTGTTGCTGCTGTTGTGTTGGTGTCGGTGTTCGTGGCTGAGTTTCTTGTCGCTGTTGCTGCTCTTCTGGTGTGGGCGTGGGAGGGATGTATGTTCCACTGGGCGGTTGTAAATAGGGGACTACCTCCTTAAGAGTCCTCCTCCTGCTGAAGTTGATGGGTTTGGGCAAGCGTCTCTGGATTTTCCGCCTAAGTGACCAGACGAGCCGTGCGTATATTTTTGAAAAGAACCAGTAGCCGGCAAAAGGGGCGATACCGGCGACAAAGGCGCCGAGCCAGCTGATGATGCTTCCAGGGGTAAAGGAGGATGGAAGTTTTGGTAGGAAGATTGGGGAGTCATTGCAGCCTGGAATGAAGAAACCAAGGGTGGGAACCCATCTCGAGGTGTTCACAAGGCCGGTTCGTTGCATGAAGACAAAGACCTCTAGGTGCAAGTTGACCCAGGAGAACACGTACTTGACCCATGGGTATTCTGGCATGTCGAATCCAGCAAAACTATCGCTCAGGACATACGATGGCAGCCCGGCCCAGAGGTACTCTCCCCATGACTGCTGGCTTCTGTGAAAGTGAAATAGACGAGAAAAGGGAACATGGGCGTAGTCCTTGTACAGCAAGATACGCTGCCTCAAGCCGTTGACTCCCCAGACTCCGACGGTGGCCAAGACCTCGCCGGTGAGGAACAGCCTCCTCCCAATTCCATCTTCGTAGTACTGGTGCTTTGTGGCGGCTTCGTATAGAGCTTGGGCCTCGTTGATGCCACTGTCTGGTTCCGCAACGCCGATGACCAGCATAACTTCGTTGTGAGAGCGGATAATGTCTCTGTTGATGCGCCGTGTCTCTGGATTCACTGGTCGTCCTCGGTCATCATACAACTGCTCTGGTGCTCCGGGTTGGGGCTCGCCAGTGCCCTCAACTACCTCATCGTAGGGAGATCGGCCCTGTCATTGGTGTTAGAATGAAATTGTAGTTCGGAAGTCTTGCAACGGATGAGCTTACAAGGGCCTGTGATGTCAGTGGGCCCAACCGCATAGTGAAAGGGTCAACTGGATTCAGGAGGTGTTTGTATATTGCTACCCGGCATTTGCCAAGATGTCTATGTGTACATTACACGGTGAGATCTGACCAGTTGCTGGCCATCCTCGTCTCACAGAATCCTGTGCCAGAGGCTGCCAGTGTTATGGTGAAGATAGTGGTGGTCGGTATAGTTGATGAGTGATGGAGACTGGAACAGATAGTTGACGTTGGTGGGGGCGCTTGGGGAGCACAGCAAGCCAAGGGAGGGTCAGTCAGCGCCATGCCCGGCCCGGTCATGCTCCAGCGCAGTGGGTGCTCCAGTGCTCCAGCGTGGTTCGTCACGGCTTCCACTTCCTACAGGGGTTGGATCTGCATGGCGCTAAGATAACCTTATTGCCTGGCCTTATCGGCGGGCGGCAGGCATCGACCCGCGAAAAGTTTTTGGGATTGGGGACCTACTTTGCAGTGTACCACCCTACACTACGTTCTAACAGCAGAACCCCAAAGGCGGCGGCGCGCAATCGCAACCCCTCTTGCCTCTCTGTTTGATTTAATCCACTTGTACAGCCAGACACTCCGTCACCACAATGGCGTACAGGCAAACCACCACCAAGACGACCTTCGAGGTCAACAATGTCATCCAGCCCATTTTCACAGGAGGTTCCGTAGCCCTCGACAATGGCGCTAGGATCCTCGCGACCACCCTCGGCGAGCAGGCCGTCCTCACAGAGCTCAACACCGGCAAGCAGCTCGCCGAGATCGAGGGCGATGGAGAGCCCATCTCGACCCTCACCATCACCCCTTCGGCCTCCCACCTGATCGTCTGCTCTCGTTCTCTTACTATGCGCATATACTCCCTCAAGGTCTCACCAGATTACGATTCCATCGAAGCCACCCTTGTACGCACCACGAAGCCCCACGCCACCCCCGTCGTTGTTCTCGCGGTCGACCGAACTAGCACCCTTCTTGCCACCGGTGCTGCCGACGGCGCCATCAAGATCTGGGACATTGTCGGAGGATACGTTACCCATACCGTTAGCGGCCCGAGTGTCCTCATTTCTGCCCTCCACTTCTTCGAGATCGCCGCTCTCGAGGACCAAGCCAGCAACAAGAACAAGAAGAACAGGCGAAAGAGCACAGCCGATGAGGAGCAAGCTCAGGATGACAGCGTCGCTTCAAAGTTCCGTCTTGCCTACGGCACACAGGACGGCAAGATCCGCATCTTTGACCTCAGCAAACGCAAGACCTACCCCGTTTACGCCGACCCGACTTCGAGGAGAGAAGCGCACGAGTCCAACGTACAAAGCCTTGACTACTCGCCAGAACTACATGCCCTTCTCAGCGGTAGCAGAGATAAGACAATGACAGTATGGCTGTGGAAGGAGGGAGCATGGAGGGGAACACCCATGTTGCGCCATGAGGGCGTTGAAGCTGTCGGCTTCCTCAACAACGGAAGCTTGATGTATTCGGCTGGAACAAGTGGCCTTCTTAGGCTATGGGACACAACCACACACCAAGAAATCACAGCAAAGCAAGACGCCAAGTCGGAAGCCGAGTCGATAGTGTCAGCCCTTGTTCTTCCCCACAAGAACCTCGTTGTTTGCGCCCAGTCCGACTTCACCCTCGCCCTCTACCGCACACCTTCGGTCGCCGATGCCACCAAGAAGTCGACGAAGCCTCTGGAACCCTTCAGGCGCATTTCGGGAACACACGACGAAATTCTCGACCTTGTTTACCTTTTGCCCGATCAGTCTCTCATGGCTCTTGCAACCAACTCGGAAGATATCAGACTTGTATCTGTGGCGGATAAGCAGCCCCAGCTGGGCGACGAGGAGGAGGGTGCGGCATACTTTGGTCATGACGTAGCTCTGCTGAAGGGACACGAGGATATTGTCATGTCTCTTGATGTTGACTGGTCTGGTCACTGGGTTGCTAGTGGTGCCAAGGATAACACAGCTCGCCTCTGGAGGGTCGACCCAGCCAACAACTCGTTCGAGTGCTATGCAGTCTTCACCGGCCACATCGAGTCTGTCGGCGCTGTCGCACTCCCCAAGACCGTACCTCCTGAGAACTCGGAGGCGTTCAAGAACCCCCTCGACCACCCGCCCGCATTCCTCATTTCCGGTTCCCAGGATCGGTTCGTTCAGAAGCGCGACATTCCCCGAACATCACAAAAGGGAGCCGTCTCAACCAGTCTGCGTCGCTTAGCCCACGAGAAGGATATCAACGCTCTCGACATCAGTCCCAACGGAAAGCTTTTTGCCTCGGCATCACAAGACAAGACAGTCAAGATTTGGGATTCCGCAACATTAGAAGTCGTGGGTATCCTCAAGGGCCACCGCAGGGGTGTCTGGACTGTTCGGTTCGCGCCTCAGGGCATGCCTGCCATTCAAGGCGAGACCGGCACCGCTGTTTCCGGTAAGGGTGTAATCTTGACCGGTTCTGGTGACAAGACCATTAAGCTCTGGAACCTCTCGGACTACACCTGTCTGCGCACATTCGAGGGCCACTCCCACAACGTCCTCAAGGTGGTTTGGCTGCGCCTTCCCAAGGCCGCTGACGACGGTGAAGACGAGGCTGCTGCTGCCGCCTCCAAGGCCAAGCAGCGCATCCAGTTCGCCTCTGCGGGCGCCGACTCCCTCGTCAAGGTCTGGGACGCCAACCTGGGTGAGACCGAGTGCACGCTCGATAACCACGAAGACCGTCTCTGGACGCTCACGGTGCACCCCAAGACCAACATGCTTGTGTCTGGTGGTTCCGACTCCCGCGTAACCTTCTGGAAGGACACTTCGGCCGAGACCCATGCCGCCGCGTCCTCGGCCGCTCTCAAGCTTGTCGAGCAGGAGCAGCAGCTCGAGAACTATATCCACGCCGGCGCCTACCGTGACGCTATCATTCTGGCGCTGCAGCTCAACCACCCCGGTCGTCTCCTGGGCATCTTCACCAACGTGGTCACTACCAACGCCCCCGAAGAGGGCTCTCTCTGCGGTATCAAGGCCGTCGATCAGGTGCTTGGTAACCTCTCCGACGAGCAGATTTTCCTGCTCCTGCTGAGGCTGCGCGACTGGAACACCAATGCGCGCACGGCGCCCGTGGCGCAGCGCATCCTCTGGGCACTCGTCCGACTCTACCCTGCCAACAAGTTCTCCAACCTGTCGGTCAAGGGCGCAAGGGGGCAGAAGAGTCTGAAGGAGGTGCTCAACGCGTTGAGGGTGTATACTGAGAGGCACTATAAGCGCATAGAAGAGCTGGTGGATGAAAGTTACCTTGTTGAGTATACTCTGCAGGAAATGGACAGTTTGGCACCGCCGGCGATTGAGGAGAGGGATGGGGATCTGGTTATGGCTGATGCATAGATTTTTGTCTTACAATTTTGGAAGCATAACGAACGGCTGGGAAAAGTAGCAGTAGATTTTTTCTGATATGGGATGAAATAATGTGATACCAAGTTTGAAACACATACACGTATAGATCGAATGCTAGTGTCCCGTTTGCCGATTGTGTGATTGTTGATGAAGTTTTCTTGTGAGAAGCCCATTCCTAAATCTATTTTATGCCTCGCCCTGGGTATCAATATTGCGTGTGTAGCGTCAGCCATGTACCATAATGGCCGATTCCTTTGGTAACGTTTCTCGTTGCGTCGTCGACCCCCTAGTTTAACTCACCATGCCTCGAGCAATCGTTGAAGGCTTAAGGCTTGTCTATCATGGTGGCTCTCCGCTATTTCTGTTTCTCACTCCTCGTCTTCTCTTTAGCTTTAGCTGCCTTGAGGCGATCCACACAATCCTTGATCACAGACTGAAGGTCACTGTTCCGCCTAGCAAGCAGAAGCACGTCATCTGTGGTAACGGTGGTACGCCCAGCATGTTGGCTGAAGGTTTCCAAATCGATGGCGACGTTTTCTGATACCCAAAATTTAGTAACAAATCAACTTGCGCTGAGAGGAAACGTACCAATTTGAGTCCACACAAGCTCGGTGAGAGCTCCGATGAACTGAGGAGTAGCATTCATGTTGCGACGGAGCGACTCATCGTCGACCATCTTGCCAATGGCGAACCACAGGGCTGATTTGAGACGCTTCTCTTGTTCAGTATTTGAGGCTAGAGCTCGCGGATAGAAAAATCATCAACACACTTACCTCCTGGACATCTTCACCCGAGGCGTCGGCCATTTTGGATTATGTAAGTGATACACTTACACAATTATCCGGCATCCCCGTTTAAACGACGTTCGGCTGGGGGGGACGCGTTGAGCGCGTCGGTAGTGGGGTAACCCTGCGGCTGGCACTTGCTGTAAAGTGAATTACGTAATGCGGCTCTAGTCCCACTAAGGTGAGTGCCTGCCAAGGGGCACACTCAGTGGGGCAACTGGGTGCACCCACATCGGCGCCGGTGGGGTTCCCCCGAACGAAGTTGATGTAACCTGTACGTATCAGTCAAGTTCCCGTGCCGTCGGCGTCCCGAGTGGACGTTTCTCGCGCAGATGGATTATGGAGCACACCAGCCCGTCCGCAACTTCGCAAGTGCCGTGTCCGTTCAACACTTTTTTTCCTCCCTTCTCCTTTTCACAACGACTCTAGACTCTTCTTCTTCTTCTCTCTTTCCTCCTCAACTCCGGCAATCTCGGGATCCTTCTTTGTAATACTTTTTGAATTAGGCTTCTTTTTCCTTTCGTACTTAATCAGTCGACAGCGAAACCTTTTCATCCGGCGTTTCCTCAAGACTTGACCTCTGCCTACCGTGTTGTCGCAAAAGCATCTCCCACCGCCCTTTGCGCAAAGAAGCCTGAAGACAACCACCACATAACAACCAAACCCCGCACGAACAAAACCGACCAAGATGGACGGAATAGCCAATGTTGTAACGGTCCTGGGTGATCGTATCACCAACAATGTCGTGGGCACCTTCGCCAACATGACGGCGGAGAAGTGGATTCGCCTGATCATCATTGTCGGAGCTTGTGAGTTGCAACATCATTTTCTTCAAGAGCGCAATGCGCAGAACCAAGTCAAGCAGAACAGCAGCTGACAATGCGCCATCACAGATGCCCTGTTGCGCCCCTACATCATCAAGCTCGGCGGAAAGGCGCAGATGAAGAAGCACGAAGAAGAATCCGCTGAAGCCCTCAGGGGCACCATCTCCCCCAACGAGCTGCGCGGACAAAAGGCCATGGTCCGTCTTCCTGGTGAGGACAGCGACTCGGAAGACGACGAGGCGCAAAACGGAGAGTCTTCGGCGGCGGACTGGGGCAAGAAGGCCCGCAAGAGGCAGCGCATGGTCATCAAGAAGCTCATCGAGGCCGAGGAGGACAAACTGCGGGAGAGCAAGGAGGAAGAGGAGGATAAGGACATTGAGGAGTTCCTACTTAAGGACTAGAAAAAAGAACTGGGTTCGGGTTTGGGTATGACTGACGTTGGATGATATTATACATTAAAGTATGGATGACGACGACGAATACATAATAATCAAATAATAATGCATTTACAAGACAAGACATCTGATGGAGTGACAAGTTCTGCTTACATGTGAGAAGGCTAAAGAAACTGTGTTGCGGGAAAGGTGGGACCTTGCAACCTGCATTCTGTGAGTGAAGCATGTCTCGGCCTGCAGCCAGAGAGAAGGCAAAACGAGTTCATTAGGACCCACTTCTACGTCCTTTTAACATTCACTCACCTTCCACTTGACTTCCTTAATAAAGCACCTTACACACCTCAACCTCCAAACCTCATCCAAACCTCACTCTCGACGCGCAGCTTGAATATTGCTACCCCAGCGAAACCTACCTACGATTACCACAGAAAATCGCTAGACAGTATCTATATATCAGTCATTCGACCTAGCGCGGACTCTTGCTTCACCACCAGTGAAGTCATCAAAACAGCTTCACCACCATCAATCAGCGTCATCGAAGCACATCAGCGAGACTCACCCACCAGCGAAGCGGCCTTGTCGTCGCCCATTCCTTGCCACAGCAGCCAACGAACAGAACCAAATACACTTCTTCACACCACAGCTCCAAGATGGCGACTATCTCAAAAGACGAAGCCATCATCCGCTCCTCTGGCGAAGGTACGCCCACTCACTCACCCATGAGTTCCTACCATCTTCTCACCTCACCTCACCCAAACTAACTCCTTTTGCCCCTCAGCCGCCCGCGCCTTCACAGACTGGTACTACACCCAACTCACCGACGGCAAACCCGTTTCCTCCTGCTACGTCAACACCAACGCCAAGTACCTCGCCGCCTCGCACCCGCCCGCCGACATCTGCATCAACGGCCAAGTCGTCGCCACGCCCGAAGAGTGGGACGCCCTTCTCGAGCAACAGCGCCTCATCACTTTTACCCAGCAAAAGGGCAAAGTCAAGTACGAAGTCGAGGGGTTCGACGTGCACGTCATCAACAAGGATTACCGGTTTGCTGCGCCCGCAGAGATCGTGGCGGCTACGGATGCCAAGATGATGCAGCGGACGGAGGATGCGCGGTTGATGATGGTGGTTACGGTGGCTGGGAGTGTGACTTTTGGGGGCAAAGAAAAGGGCACGCCGCCCAAGCAGCATTTTTCGGATGTCTTTGTTTTGGTGCCGAATTGGGATTATGTGACGAGGCCCAAGTTCAAGGGGCATAAGAGGTATTTGGTTGCTAGTCATACTTACAGGGCTTATTAAGGTGTGATGGCTCGGTATGACAGATGGGGGACACAATGGGAGAAGCATGAGGTTGTTCTGTGAGCGGATACTAGAAGGCATGTATCCGAGGTATTTGCTTCACTGGATTTTCACATCAGCCAAGAGTTTATTTCAGCGTTTTTTTTTTTTTTCCCTTTTCTTTTTCATTTCGTTTACATGCGTTTATGGATTTGGCGTCAGGGACGGAAAAGAGAAGGATGGTTACATGGCTACGATCATAATCGAAGCGAAGCATGTGGAAAGCTGATACCACAAAATACACATTATACCTCGAAAAGCCACCAAAAATGATACTACAAATTGTTTTACAGCACAACTACCAAAGCGAGCGGCTTGGGAATCCTCCCCCGAATAATCCAAACTACCCGATGCCCCCTGACCATATGATCGCTACTGAGCTACCCTACAACTGCTTTCAATACTCTTGTCCGAACCGTTCGGCCAAAATCATCCGTTTCTTGAGAGCCACCCATTTCTTCAAAATCAGCAAAACCTCCTAGGCTGCCGCAATTCCCTCCTCAGCCTTTTCAACCTGCTCTCCGGGCGCCTTCTCCCTCTCACTTTGTGTCAAACACTTCCTCCTCCACTCCCAATACCCTCCCCGAATCTTATCCCACTTCTCCGCCAATCTCCTCAAACACAGATCCGCCTTTTCATTCTCTTTCTTCTCCGCATAAATCTCCGCCAACAAATCCAACGCATGCGTACTTTTAACCTCTTCCTCCTCCTCCCCTTCACCCAACTTATTCACAAACTCCTCCACAAACCCCTGCACGCTTGCCAGAGGCTGGCCGCCCTTCACCAACACGCCCCGCATGTAATTCCACGGGCTCTGGTTCTGCGGCGCCAGATACACCTTGTTCTGGGCATACTTCACCTCTCTATCCACCAGCTCCTGGGGCACCTTTTCATCCTTTTCCGTCGCCGCCTTGCCTGGCGTCGCATACTTTGGGTTAGAGAACACCAAAACGAACCGGTGCGACCAAGCACTGTTGTTTCGCACGTCCTCGTCAATCATTTTCTCAATCGACTTTAGTTCTTCCTCGTCCTCCCACATCCCCAGCTTGCCGACCAGCCACGAGCGGTACGACCAGACGTGATAGTTCTTGGTGTCTTCGGATAGGATGGCGATGAGGAAGTCACGTTCTTGTTTGGCGAATTGGGCAAGAGCGTCAGGGTCGGAAGAGATGGTGGGGTAATAGTGCTCGACGAGCAGGTGGCGGTGGTGCCAGATTTGGTAGTTCTTAAGGTTGGCGAGCGCAACTTCATTAAGCCACTCGATCTCGTCCGGGATGGATATGCCCAGGGCGAAGATGTTGGCGGCGCGGTAGAGCCAGACGGTGTAGTGGGCGGGGTTCATGGCGATGATGTGCTCAGTTAGGCGAAGGCAGCGGGGGGAGTACTCCTTTGTGGTCATGACGGCGCGGAGGTAGGACATTGCTATTTTTTTTTTGACAAGAATCAGCTTTGATCATGACCTGATTGATGGAAAGGGGAAAGAAAGGAAGTGTGTAACATACCCTCAGCATACTCAGCCGGATAAGTGATTGCCGCCAGCGCGCCCTCGGGCTCCTCATGCGGAATAGGAACCACATCCTCCCACTCCACGCTCTCAGCCAACTTCCCCGTGATAGCGCCGTACAAATCCTTCTTGAGTGCAGCCATCTTGCTTCGTCTGACCTTCTCTTCGTCGATCTCTCTTTCCGTAACAATAATCTCCCGTCCGGACCTTGCGTCGACAAACCCTCTCTTCTCACGCTCAACGTTCTCCCGAAATACTCTGCTCGACACTTGGAGCGCTGTCAATGCGATCCGCTGCCTGAATCGCTCGTCGAACCGCTCGATCGTGTAGCTGCCGACGTCGTGGCCGTTCCGATCAGTGCCCCAGGTAGTATATGGCTCCGGCTTGTGCTTGAGTCCGCGGACGATTGAATTAGTCCCGTTGACGGTCCACCAGATCTCCTTGGACGCTTTAGGACCGAGGAGGCACGAGCGGCTGGCTGCGGGCAGGCGGTTGGTCAGGTGTAGGAGCTGGTCGCAGATCCAGCCTTTCTGGTCTTCTTTGGAGAGTCTGCTAAGTCCTTGTTGCCGACGGGCAGCTTCGAATGGACGGGTCTTCTCGAAACGCTGTTGGCTACGTTCGAGTACGGTGGTAGGTTCTGATGGTTGCGATGCTGTTTGGCTAGTAGTATTGGTCGTGGTGGGATTGGAGGTGGTAGTCGCTGGAGCTTTGACAGGAGAGGACCGCCCCGATTAGCTACCTTTCCAATTATTGTACCAACAGCCACATAAGCTGCAAACAGAAACAGGGAGAGAAAGACAAATAAGATCTTTCGAGGTCGAGTACCAAAAAAGAAACCTACTTTCGGTTGCTTTGGGCTTTGTGGCCGCTTTACCTTTGGACGGCATCGTTATGAGGTGGTTGCTAAGGGGGAAATGGTGGGGTCTTAAAGCGGAACGGGGACCTTGCTGAACGCATTGATTTGCGGTCGTCGGATTGCAAAAAGATACAAACAAAGTGACCGAAGGACGTCAAACAGAAGCCAGTGGCGCATCAAACAAAACAATCGCAACTTGCAAGTAAGCAC